ACCACCACCACCACCACCACCCCAGCCCACTTCAGTAATTTATAAATTTGTTTTCTAATATATATGTCTTACCTGGTGGAAATTAACCTAAATCTGAAGCTAAAGTGTTTTTTTTCCATTATTTTACACTTTTTTCATTCAATAAATGAACTGATTCTGAACCAAACTGTATAATTATCCAAGAAACCCTTTTATATAAACAAACGAAACAGAAAACCACACATAAATTACCCATGTATCAGTCTAAACTGGAGCAAACACAACATTGTACAGCTGCAAGTCATCACCCAGATTTACACACACGTATCSAGCTCGGCATGAATTTACACTACATGATTCTGTCCCCTTGTGAAGCGCACATATAGGCCAGATCAGCAGCAAAACTAATCTAATTGATAAAGTATTTAATCTCAGGGAGTCACAGGCACCCACATTCAGCTGCAGGGCAACTCCAAATTGCAAAGCAGGACTTGGCATGGAGTGTTAAGCTAACACTGATAGCAAGAGAAGACTTGTTCCATCTGACCTTCTGATTTGGCTCACGGTCCCCTACAGGAATACTGACTTTCTATTATAAGAACCCCATGTGTCAGATAAACCACTGACTCGGAAGAAGGCAGCGGTCGGGAAACACAGACTTTTCTTCTGACTGACTTTCAAGCTGCATCTTATAGTTTTTCGTCTGATGGCTACAGAAAAAAAAGTCTCATGGAAATCAGAAGAGCTTAGAGCAAATGTTAGAAAAGGCTGGAAGAGGAAGTGACTTTTTTTCTAATTTCATATCAAAACAAACAGATCATCACCTCTATACACAAAGACAAGCTTGTTGGGATCATAGAAGCAACATAAAGACGTGTCACCTTGTCATCCAGCTGAGGTTTATTTTCTTAATTAGGACATGCAAACTAACAGAGCCTGTCTTGGAGGCCTCGTGTTGAGTTCTGACCAAAAAATAAATAAATAAAATGAAAAAAAAATTGGGCATGATGACAGAATGTGTCACACAAATGCTTGCTGCCAGGAATTACTCCTTTCCGGTATCACTAATAATTAGAAACACTCAGTTGTTTTGAAGTCACTTAAATAAACAGATGTTTTACGTCACACAGGATGAAGCACAAAGAGGCAGAAAAAGAGGACGTAATACCATGTATAACTTTTACCACATTTGTCTATATTTCCGATCAGTCGACACCTCTATCATCAGTATTTATGTGTCCAGTTGTGTTTCCTATTTGACCACTAAGCTGTGAATTTTCTGGAGCGCCGCCACGCAGCTGGCTCTCCACCATCATGCTGTCCTGTAAGGCATCAGCATTGTTGCTGTGGACAGTGGCGCCTTGTTGGTCAGAAATATGACTCTCCAGTTTATCAGGATCTCTGCTTGCTGCACTGCATGGGCTGTGACTTGGGCCAGCTGAAAAACTGTGCCGCTGCTGGACGTCGGCGGGACTGCAGCTATTCACGCCAGGGCAACACTCCATTTCCCCCTGCTGATTGGTGCTGCTGTCACTTTGTGTGTAGGCTCTTGTTCCGTCTTTCGACTTGCTGTCAGGCTGCTGGCTCCGTCTCATTTGGCCCAACATGACTTGCAGCTCGTTGAGGCGCTGTGAAACATAGCGCCTCTTCAGTTCCAACAGAATTGTTCCACTCCGAGACAGGCTTGGCGTGTTTGGTGATGTTACCCTCTGCACACACACACAAAAAAAAACATAAAAAGAGGATCATAGATAATACTTTGTAGATGATGTGTGGTAAATGATATTATAAAGAAGGAATTCATGCCCAGAGTCTCAAGCAGTGATACAAATATATAAATGCAGGCACACATTATGATCATGCATTCTGATTCATGTCTTTATTCCTTTGAGGCAAGGCCTTTTAGGAGCAAATGAACATCAGCATGAAGGAAATCTGTTTAAATGATTTGGCACCATTCATAACAGCTCATCCCTGCAATATGTAATTTAGATACAACAAATCCAACAAAAAGGGATGACAACATCAAATTCAAATTGTTAAAAGATTTTTCTGAGTGATAAGAATCACAATTCAATTAAACATAAATTTGCTATTTGGATAACGTTTTTTCTTTCAGCTGCTTCATTCTTCAAGAATCACCAGAGTCAGCTTCCACAAACAATTTCACAGATGCCATTCTCGATGCAATTTAGGCTCGGACCAGCAGCCTCTGGATTATGAGATCATGGCACTGACCTCCCAGCTACTGCAGCCACACTTTTTTATCAGATTATATAACACACAGGAACTACAGCATATGATGTTTTAACTAATTACCTCATGGTTTCCAGCACTGTTCTCTCTCTCCCCAGGTGTGGAGCTTAACTGAGCTCTCCTCTGCAGCTTCAAGCTCAGCTGCAAGAAAGACTCACTCATGCGGTCAATTTCCTCCTCTACACATGACATCTGAAACACAGGAAGTGAGTAACTGATGTGATGTGAATGACTGTTTTTTTATTTTTAGTTTATTTAAATAAAGTGTTTATGTAACTGCGTCACCTGTACCGGCGTCCCAGTTGGAGGTAAACCTGCATGAATGAAACCGTAAATGCTCAGTGCATGTTTTGGTCATTGGACTGTCCTTTTAGAAACAGGCATTAAAAACATAAGAAACGAGTGGTTATTTGATTTTTGTTTTAAAATATAGAAATTAGAATTAAAATACAAAGTGTTTCTCATTCTTAGTGTCAAAAAGGGATGAACAAATTTTTAAAATGACTTGAGTTTCATTTAGCAAAAAAGAAAATAAATTTAAAACAGAAACGAAAAAGGGCTTGTTTGTTATGAATATCTATTCCCCCACCAGAAGGGGTGATCTTCTGCCAGTTCTGCATAATTAAACACCAATTTCTGTGAATAAAAGCCTAAAATACAGATGTGTATGTCCATAAATGAGTTGCATGATGACTGTTTCTCTGTGACCGAAGGCTTTGCAGAGATACTTCGTGTTGCTTTTGGCCAAAAAAGTCCTTTTTTATTGAATACATGTCGGCTGTTGCCTCCACTTCACCTCCATTTTCTCAATAAAAAGCAAAATAAGGCAACTTTTATTTTATTAGTGCTTTGTACAGTTGTTCTGTAAGCAGAAAGGTCTTTTTTCCCTCCTGAGTTTTGACAAAATCTGTGCTTTTTTTCTGTTAATTCACATCCTCTGAGTTTCAGCGGTTGGGCGATACTACGACTTTGATATCGATCTGATACCAAATAAATACTTGGCAAATATATTCGATACTGAAGTCAGTATCGATGCTTTTTACTTGTAATGAGATGTTTATTGAATAACTTTGATATTGCGAGCACCCCTTCTGGTGGAGAAACAAATTATTTTACTGATACAGTAAGTTGGAATGACCTGTCGTGGAATATGAACAAACAAGACTTTTTTTTCATTTCTGTTTTAAAGTAATTTTCTTTTTTTGCCGTCTGAAACAGAAAATGAAACTCAAGTCATTTAAAAAAATTGTTTATCTCTGTTTGACACAAAAAATGAGAACTGCTTTGTATTTTAATTTTAACTTCTATATTTTAAAACAAAAATCAAATAAGCACTTGTTTCTTGTTTTTTAATAACCGTTTCCAAAATGAAAATCCAATGACCAAAAGATACACTGACCATAAATATATACGTATTTTCAATTTAGAATAAAAACCTTGGAGAAAATATCTTTATAAGGACATCACTGAAAGAAAATACAACTATTCAGGCAATAAATAATACATGGTAATTGGACTTGTAGCAGAGGGATAAGCACTTGAGCACTCAGCTTTAGTGCTTATTGGCATGCTGCCATTACAGTGTATTAACACTTTGTATGCAGGACATTGGGGTATTTCTCTGAAACAACGTCTCCTTGGGTCATTTTAGATGTATTAATTTACTATTTCACCAGAACCAATGATAATTTAATGAAGTGCATAGCTTGTGACAGGAGAAAAGTGGAGAAACAGATCGTCCAACATCACAAATAGTTTGGTTCATTAGCTTGTGGTGGTGCGTTATTATTGTAAATGAACAAAACCTAATTGTTTTTTACCAAATAGCTTATTTATTCCATTAAAACTGACAGAATTGAAATATTTTAATAATTTCCTGAAACTACTTAAACTTCACTTGTGGGTTTTTATTACCTGCCACCATGAAAGGCAAAAGAAGAACCAGCAGACTGAGGGACAGCTCACCTACAGGCAGTCAGGACCTTTCTTTCCTTATTGTTTACTTGCATGGGAACAAGTGTTAAATATAACAAATACAGAACACTATAACATTTATAGCCTCAGCTAGTTTGCAATGCTCATCCCCAAATGGGCTTTTAACAATATAAAAAGGATGCTCAACTCTCTCCCTGCTCTGCCGTCCATTTCTTCTCATCCTCTTGAACACACAAACTTTGGTCGGTGCAGTTCACATAATAAATAAACTTTAACACTGAACTGAGTTTAACTAAGAACTGCATTTGTATTCATCACTTTAAATGTCTACGTGTTCATTCACTTTGCACTAATGTTTATATTTGCACTCACCGTACTCATAAATGTTAACACACTGCACATATCACTTCATACATACTGTGTATTTACACTGTAAATATATATTACGGCATATGTCACATTATTTCTCATGCTAATATCAGGAACCTTCATGCACATACTTATCCTGTTTCATTTCTACAAATTAGTTTATCAGTATATATTTTTATTTCAATGCCTCATTTCAATCTGTTCACCAACCTGTACATTATGCAGATTTGACAATAATTAGACTTTGATTTGACTTTGAGATTAAGAGCCTGTGCATGGTTGCTTGTGTCTGTGATGTTTGTCTATCTGTTAGCAAAATATCTCATGGGCCAATGGATGAATTTTAATAAAGCCCTGAGAATATTTTATTCATTGTACACCACTCAATCTGATTAAAGATGGCCACCACAGCTAATCAAACCTAACAAGCTCAAAAATGGCTACCACTCAGTCAGTTTCACAAGTACTGAGATGAAATATTGCTTGGCGATTGTTAAGAGTCGCACACTCTGAGGACCAACAGCTCACACGTGATTTTTGTTTAAAGCCTTGGAACGAAAGGCACCGGAGAGTATACAATTCCTCAAGGAATGTTAGTGTAATCATGTAATTATTTTGAAAAGTGTTATTAAAATAATATGTGCAAAGGTGTAAAGTTTTGACTAACATTAAGGAAGTTTGGAGTCCTGCAAGCCATGGTCATTCAACAATATTTGGTAAAGCTTTCCTTTATGGTACCTTTATTACCATGTAATTAAAAGGTAATAAAAATATAATTYAATGGTAATTACTACCGTATTATTTTGTAATTATGTGGTAATTAGAGTACAAAAGGAAAACTAATGTTAGTAAAACTACCTTTATTGGGTAACTACAATCAAATAGTAACAATAAATCAGTTACAATCAATAGTAACTCAACACTAAATTTATAACAAAAAGAATGCAACTAAATTTTGGGGTTAGGGGTTAATTGCAATAAAATATGACTTTAAAACTGTCCAAATTCCCCACTACTTATTTAGGTGTTACATAGTGAATTGTAATACATTACCAGGTCAGTGCTACATTACTGCAGACAATTAATTACATTGTAAAATTGTACCCTAATTACCAAATACTTACATGGTAATAAGGTAGTAATTAACTGTTAATTACATTTTATTACCTTGTAATTGCATGGTAATAAGGGTACCATAAAAGAAAGCGTTACCCAATATTTTTTATAAAATGCACATTATTTAATTAAAACTGTGAGTTGTTAGGAAATAATCTAACTCTATTACAATAGAAAATAATCTTCTTACCTGAGTTGATGTTTGGGGTTGAACTCTGTTTGAGATTGGAGATTAGATCCTCCAACTTGAAATACTTATATTTCTCAAGTCTAAAGTAAAATATAGGGTGAAAACAAAGTAATTATTTGTCTTTTCCTTCGCTGTATTTGTATAAATGAAAGAGTATAAAATTCAGTTCTGCATTTTCTATCTTTCTCACCAACCTTCTGGCTAACAGGTGCTCAGCAAAGCGCGCTTCAGGGGGAACTCTAACGTTGAGAAATTGCTCAACTAATGCACCGTGCCCCCCATCTAATGCATCAATGCTTGACTGCCAAAATGAAGGCATAAAAAGTTACCAACCCACGTTCGAACAGTATGAGAAGGATGAGTGAGATTTAAATGGCATGTGCATACCTCTGCTGTGCTCCACTTAGAAGAAAGATTGAACAGCTGAAGGCTCAGTATTGAAATGGCCTCATGAAGAGCTCGCATTAACCGCTGAGGTTTGGATCCTGAATAAAGACAAMATAAGTGAATTATGTTGTTTTCAAAGAAGATTACATAGTTTTTGATCAAAGATGATTGCCTGGAATTTTCTACTGCACGACACACGGCTGCTGCAAAACCAGGACGCGAGATTAGCTTTCAGCACTGTCTTCTATTTTTATGATTACCTGCCGCTATGTGGGCCATGGACTGCAGGAGGACAGCGATGAAATGTCCGACATGCTGAAGCTTTGCCTCTGACAGATAAAGGATTTGATTGCTTGTGTCAAAATAAAAGTCCTCAGAGCAATGGGCCAGCAGGCTCCCGTTGGGGTGAGGTGAGGACAACGGCAAGGACTTGGCCAGTAAAAGAAGCACAGTGGGGAACATGGGACAGTCTGCTAACAGCTGCATCACCTGACAGCCAAACAGGTAAATGGCCGAGTGTTGCGGGGAAAGTTTGTCCAGAGAAGTCGGAACGAGTAGTCCATTGTAGCTGTCCTGGGTTAAATGTTCCATAGGTGCTAAAACAGAAAATGTTGCATTTTTAGCTTTTGCTGGATAACATTTATTATTACTGTCATTTATAATGCATCTGATTTATCCTCCCGTTGTCTTAAACTGAAATCTTACATTTAACTTCAGTACCAATGTGAAGATGCTGATGTGACTCAACTTTGGTGAGATTTTGCAAAGACTGCTGAATYTCCTGCAGGGTCTTAAATAAAGGAGACGTGGTGACCAGCTTAGACAGGTCGTAGTCACTGAGACAAGCTTCTGTGCTTTGTGCATTATCTGTGAAACAAAACAAAAATAAATCACAGTCATGAGTATATATTACATTTGTCTTSTAAATAGAATCAAATATTTTAAAGTAAAGATTTGCTTCTAACCTGTCTCATGGCAAAAACCTTCAGCTTTGTTCATAGTCAGTGATGAAAACTGTGGATTTTAAAACGTACATGAACAAATTTCCTTCTTTTTTAAAATAGTACAAATATTCAAAAAACAGTTTTGTGTTACAACCATGCATTGAGAACATTGAGTTTATAAATAAAGCTAATCCTGCTGCAGTACCTGTGTAAAGCGCATGTTGGTGATACTGGGTTGCAAGTATCCAGTCTGGGCCTCACCCTCTCTGGTATCATGAGGACCAGTATGACTGAACGGGAGGCCATGCAAATCCTGGTTAGGCCAACATTCTCCCGTCAGCTTGCATAAGAGAGTTTCCACTGATCTAAGAACAGCTCCCAGTAATGACACAGAGGCCTCAGCTTGGTTGGTCCAGTAATAGATGAAATARATAGAAACCAATTACTGTTTTTTACAAAACAAAAGTAATAACAGAGCAACTTATAATGATCATTTAAAATAAAACAAATAATGGCTTTACTTGAGAAATGTTTGATGTTTTAATTTTACTTTAGGCAGGTGAGTACTGATGTTAAGAAAATCAATAGAAACCCAGTTTCTAAAATCAAATTTTTATTGGCTTATTTATTACTACTAAAATAATGATTATTTCTATTATATTTTCTAATATTTCATTCTCTAAAACAAGCCTTTCAGACTGCATAGTCAAACAGAGATCTGAAACTGAACAAAAATAATAAATAAAAAGTGATTTCAGAGCTTTTCAAAAGCAGGAAGTCTAATATTTAGTGATTTTTTTCTTTTAGGGACAATAGATTGTGAGTTATAGTCTATCTTAAATAAAGAGATGGAATGAGATGTAGTAGCTGTGTTAATGTCAATAATCCATTTTAGGCCATCATAATCCATCCATCCATCCATCCATCCATCCATCCATCCATCCATGTCAGTGAATCAAATATTGTGCATTACATCATATTATTTATTANTTTATTTATTTACTGCGTTTGTTGGAGAGAAATTTGTCCAAGAAGCTAAAAGATCAACAATATGCTACAAACAACATGACAAAGGCTGACATGCACAAAAGGGCTTGGACCCCGGTCATAACTGCTTTGCAGTTCTAGTTATTATTGTTATTATTATCATTTTTACCTTGTGGATCTCCCTCGCCTGCATGGTTGTGAGATGATTTAATCTTCATAAGATTATGGAGTAAAATCTCTTTAAGAAGACTCAGTTTTTTATAATCCATATTTTCGAAGAGATTCTAAAACAAAACAGATTTTTTTAAGTATTTTCTCTACATCTAGCAGTTAAAAACAAATTTACTTACAAAAACATCACTTTAAAATAAAATTGCATTTGCAAAGCAGCTCTTCAAAGCTGTATTTCTTTATTGTAAATATATAGCATTTTTTGTGTATTATAGATACATTTTAGTTTATTAAAGAGAATGACTTAAAGTGACCAGTGTGTTTAAAATTCTAATTTAAGTATAGCATGGTATGGCATGAGCTACATGAAAAAAATACAGGCCAATGGAATTAGGCTTTAAGGGGGTAGGAGGAACATTTCATACTATGGGAGGATTTTCACAACTTGGTAATACAAAAGTTGCTCTTATGATGAAAAAAGAGTATACGAATCAGTCAGCTATAGGTTGCCCAAAATACTTTACAAATTATATAGCCAGGTTATAGTGAAACTTTAAATGCCAGTCAGTGACTTACCCTCAGTGATTCAGTCTGCTGACAAATGTTTCTGTAAAATTCCTGCATGTCTTTGCGATGTCGGGCCAGCTGGGATGCAATATGGAGGTTCTGATCTTCCAGTTTGTCATATAAAGTTTTAACATTGAACTCCTCCAGATCACAGCAACCTGACACACTTCCTAACGGGACAAAAAAAAAGGCAGTTATTGAGAGATAGTCTCATTTTGACGCATGTAAAAAGTAAATAAAAAGTTTACTTATTCTGACTACATGTTGGTTCTGGAGAGTCTGTCCCAATAAACAACAACACTACAAGTCATTAGAGTCAAATTTTAGCCATTATTTTCCATGTCATCAATCAAATGGGAAATAGGCTGCTATGCAAGCTGCCATGCATGATGATTTCATAATAAGTAGTCTATTTTAATGGCCTATCAAGCTGTGTGAATGATGTAACATGCTCCGACTCAGAAACYTTAAACTCAACCCTGCTATTATGCTGTAAGAAATGAGAAACAATCACATATYTACTAAAAACCAGTCAGATGGGGAAAAAAGTTGCTTGTAAAAACTTTCTGATTGTTTTGTTATTAAAGTGATGAATTGCAAAGTGGGACATAAAACATGTAATGTGACAAAAAAACCTCTTACGTCTTAGGCTAGCTGTAGACATAAGCATGCTATTTTATTTCTTGGTATTGCAATAGTAAGTTTACAGCATGCAAACAAGCCCTGCTGTCATGACCTGTGTAATTTGGTTGCTTCCCTGTAATAATTTAGTTTTATTGTAATAAAAGTATGTTTATTTAAACTCCTCGAGTTCGTCTGCATTCTGGGTCTGATCAACCTACTAAAACTAACACCTGCACTGCTGAGAATCAACTCCTCTTAAGTTTCAACCTTTAGAAAGAGTTTCTTGTTTGCAGGGTGCAGCAAAGTGTTAAAAACAGAAAGTTTACCTCCTTTTGTAACTGCAGGCTCTTCAGCTTCTGCTCCTTCTCCCACACCTCGACACCCAAGGGACCCACTTTGGCTTTGGACAACTCGGCTATAAGGCAAAAGCAGGAAAGGTGTTTGTTACCTTCTTACTGAAAAGAAAGGCCATTTTACTTGAACAGCAGGGTATACCTTCTACATCTAAATCTAAAAATAAATAAATAAATAAATTTAGCATCACATTATACAAAAGATAAGATAGTTACAATGAGCTGTTTTGTTTAATGTATTTTCACATTTTATTACAATGTTTCACATCAAAACGTGATTATCTGTATTGTAAATAATGCAAAACTCCTTGAATTAAAAATGCTGCACAGAGAACAGACAAATGAAGGAATATGACTTATTTACACAGTTTAATTAAGTTCTGTTTTATGTATGGGCTTAGTCCATCTGGAGGTAGAGTCATTTCTTAATGTTCAGCTCGAGGGAAGCAGCAATCATACTGTGCCAGCTCTACTGTACTCAGCCAAGCATGCTTTAATTCATGGAGCCTTCTGTCTCACTGCAGATGATGAGTCAAAACTGACTCTACCCTTCGATTCACTTTTAGGTTTGTATATATCACCACACTATTTATTCTTCACTGAGCTCAATAACTGCAATAATTCCACACCACTGTTCACCCGACTGGTGTTTGCTCTGCATTCAGCAGATTCCACTAAGCAACTGAAGAGTTGCCAGACTTCTATTTGCTTCGCCAAACGTTTGGGTACAACAATGAATTTAAAAAATGAACTAAGCACAGAAAGTAAGGAAAGTTGTGCTTAGTAGATTATTTCTCTCTGATAACAAATCGGCTGCCCCGATTTCCTTAATTTTGGGTGATCGGTAATTGACCAATGCTCACAGGAGGAGCTGATCTTATCCACCGATCTTACCTACCTCTGCAAAGGTCTGAAAATCAGTCATTGTCCTCTTTTGATTAGCTGTGAGAGGGTTGTTGTCTAATTAAAATGAGTTTGTATTGTTCAATGTTTTTCAGTAAAATAAGACTGAAACACTGAAGGTACATCGTGACCTTATCATACCCGACAGTGTTAGTTATAAAAAAAAATCTGTATCACCAAAAACTAAATCTGCAAGTCAGGMTTTTTAAAGATCAGTGATTGGCCAGAAAACTGCAACTGGTGCGCCCCAAATAACAATGCRTCTTGGTAATAAATCTCATATTGTTGTTCCTTTTAAATGGTGGCACATTTTTAAGGAACATGGTTATGTGAAATGAGCAGTATAGCTGAGTATCTGGGTTGCGCACACAAAAAAAAAATTGGCAAAMCTTTTATGCTGAGCTGTTTCATTTGCTGTTGCACTTGTTTTGAGCTTCTGGTGCATCAGTGTGTGAATGTGTGTGTGCATGGGTGAATGTTTGTAAGTGTAAAGCACTTTTGGGTCCGGAGGGACTTGATAAAGTGCTATATAAGTTCAGTCRATTTGTCATTTACCATTTACCCCACGTGCTTCCAATCGGGTGCACATGTAAGGTTTATTGTCAAGAAGCATTTTTATAACAAAGAAATAATCTATCAAACACAAATGTTCTCACTTTTTGTGCTAAGTATGTATTACGGTGTAATATTCATAAGAATAACATGACATACTTTAAATTCTATGGAATTGTACAGAGGGTAGCACAAGTTCTTATTGATAAGCTAAAGGGGTGGGAACAACTCCATGATTTTATGAATCTTACTGAAAAAAAAATTGTTTTACACTTATTTTTAAATGCACTACACATTCTTGGTGTTTTTGAGATATCTAGACTGCTTTTGATAATCTAATTGTGTAATTATATATATCTTTATACTGCGAATAAGCTGTGATTAATTGATGTGAGCTCTGTTCAAAGTGACCCTTGTCATGGGTCATCTCAGAACAGACTGTAATTAAAAAGGGACAGATTATTTAATACACACTTTCACAAACAATGAACAGTTTTTCTTCATRGGATTGCAGGACTTGCAGAACACTACAAGATATCATGTCATAATGAGAATGTTTTGAATAATGATTATAAATCTACGTAAATTGGATGCAGTACCAACTGCTGTGGAACGGGAACACACCTTTCTCTGCTGCAAACACACTCTGTTGGGCAAAAGGGTTCCCCAAGGCTGCGCCACTTTGGTTTTATCCTCCACTGAGGAACAAGCTTCGCTTTGTTGGGTCGCAGAACCAATATAGTTGTTGTCAGGACTATAACTACAACCATCAGTAGGCACAGAATCCCTGCACATAGTGAATGTTGATTATAGGTGAAATGCAGATTAGGTAGTTATTAATAATCATACGTCAGTCATTTTTGTAGCAAGAAGCCAAGAAAAATACCAGCAATCAAACCCCAGTCAGGCAGAAGGTTGAGTTTGTGATTTTTGACAATCCCATATTTCACCAAGTTTTCTGGGGTCATGGGTTGGAACACAGCAGACCTTGGATCACAGTCAGTCCCTTCCTCACTGACCACCACCACCATGCTCCACTGAGGGACAACACTGTCCACAAACACATACTTCCCTGTTTCTGAAAAAACGTGGGCAAACCTACAAGGAGAGAAGAAATAGAGACTTGAGAAGCTATTGCTGCAAAATGTGACTTTAAAAAACTGTAGAGTCAGAAGTACCTGGAAGAGTTGAAATTTGTCTGCTTCATAAGTATCTGCAGATGTCTGAAGGCACCATAATCCCAGCTGGGGTTGCTATTAAACAGGTGGTCTTTCTGGTAGACTGGGAAGTGGCTTAGAAGACGGTCTAGGAAATAAAATACACTTAGCCTAAGACAAGAATTTTTAAAACTAAAAGTAATTACATCACTGTCAAATAATAATATGCAACTAAGTAAAATTTTGGGTACCAGTGTGGTTGATGGTGAGATAAAAAATGAGCATATCACCAGAAGAAAGACAGGCAATGGGATTTGGCATTCTAGGGAGGACACTCGTTGCATCATCACCTTTTGTCTCTCTCTTAGTTCTAGTTCTTGTGTTTAGAATTTCAATAGGTTCTGAAAAAAATACATTTGTCTCAACTTTGAATGCTTATGTTTAATGAGAATGACATTACAGTAAAAATAAAAAAGTGGTTCAATGAATGCATTAAGATAATGTATGATATGAGACATCAATTCACCTGAAAGGAAAAGGTCAACATCCTTTTGCAAAGGAATCCAGCCAAACACTCCTTCAGAGTCAAACTGGACCAAATGTATTTTTCCAAAGATCTTTTCATGTCTATCTGGTCCTAAAACATTTGTTACTGTCTGAAAGCACATGAGATAAAATGAGACAAGATGAGGAGAGACAATGAGAGATGGGTAGAGATTATATGAGATTAAACACAAAATGAGATCAAATGAGACACAATGTAAAATTATATCTGTTGGATATACTGTGGTTAATTAACTGAATTTTAGATACAGTCATATTTTTTATACTCTGTGATTGGTCATAGTCATTTACTATAAACAATAAGAGAACCAATAAGCAAGTATTTATTTGATGTGTGTCTTGCTCCAGCAGTATAAACAGAATTGTTTACATTTCAGGCATTTGCTGCCATAAGAGGGACCACCCTCAGGAGTATCGAAACCAGGGTATGATAATAAGTGATCACCTTTATGTTTAGACTTTTGAAGCCACAGAGAGGCTTGGAATGAAATGGAGTCTTTAGATCTGAAAAGAAACATTTAACTGAGAACTTAATTAAATGTCTGCATATTATTTGGGTTTCCAATCTCAACATTTCCTTACATATCTAACATTAAATGCCAACACCTTCATAATTTACATTTCAACACTTTGAAATGTGGAAAATTTTGTATAGTAAGAATTTTTTTTTCTGCACACGTAAACACTTCTCCTCTCATATGGAGATGCTCCTTTATTATACCCCCCCCCCACCCACACTATATACAAAAAACAATTAAATAAATCTGTTGCTGCAACAATTTTGTTGCAACTTTGAATAGGCATGACTAAGAGATGCTGGGCTAAGTTTACAGCTATCCACTGTTAATAAACCCTAAAGTCTGAGAATTTATTTGAATGCATAGTGATACAGCATTGTGTTTATGTTTATCTGGTAGTAGCAGCCTCCGAATGTCTTCATTGGACATATTCAGGGATGTGTTTATCACAAATAAGTGGATTAGACGGAATAATTTGCTGCGTGTGAAAGGTGGAGCTGATGATCATTTTGTCAGCGGCGCTGTCAGATTGCGCTCACCCTTGCCCAGACTGGGCTATTTCTTTTTCTTTCTCTTTCTCTGAGGCTGAGCTTTAGGTCTCCATCTGGTGTGAGCTGGGCAAAAAGCTGGGGCAGCCTGGACAGGCAGGACATATTGCAAATCTCCTCTGCAGACACATACTGCTCACATTGGCAGCTGGGGCACAGAGATCGGGGTTTTAGGCAGATAAGGAAATAGATAGAAAGACAGCATATCAGCCAAAATCAAATCTACAATAAGCTGTAGCATTGGCAACTATTAAATCAGTAATGTAGCCGTTTTTTCTTTTGTTTTTTAAATTAACCATCTGCAGAAAAAATTATTAGACTCACATGCCCATTTCCACATTAAGAATCCCCCCCAGTGGTCCACAGGTGATATTACAAGAGTAGAGAGTTGGAGAGACACACTCTCTGGATGCTGCTAAACGTACTTCTCCTGCCCCACACCTTCTGTTCACCTGAAACACACAAACACAGTCATCTGAAGGAATTTGAAACACAAGGATGTTGCTGTTTGTTGCATCGCTCATAGCTGCTCACATTTCTTTTTAATTTGTATTCAATTTAACAAAAACAGGGTGGTAATTAAAAAGCAGGATTATAAAATATGTGTTGCTTTGCTTCAGTGTCAAACACCAAAAAGCTAGTAAAGTTTGTGCAACATGTCACACTTTTTACCCTCAAAGATTGCAAATTTGATTTGGTAAAACCCCTACTTTGAAATAGCTTGGCTATTCGTTTGACATAACAATTCAAAGTAGAAAGAAATATACTTAAAATGTTATTAAATAAGTGTAAAATGATTCTAACCTCAGGCTGGCAGTCCAGTTGACTATCGAGCATTGAGCTTTTAAAATCCAACTCGTTGTAGTAGACAAATCCAGTTCTGCACAAACACGATCCATCAGAATGCTGAAAAGCTCGGTTCTTACCGATGCAGCTACACGAGGAAGAACCTGTGGAATGAGAAGGGAATATGGCAACTCCAACATGATGACAGAACATCTTCTAAATAACTACTTTTAAATTATCTCACACAATACAGAATTTAAAGATTTATAAATCTTAAAAAAAATGTTCCTGTTATTTTGAACTACMTTGAACTTTTGAATTTTAGTGGAAAAGTAGCTTATAAAATGCTATTAAAATGTTATTTTGGTGAGTCAGAATAAATGCAATGAATTTTTAACATTTTGTATTCAAATGTCACCCACTATAATCAGTGTGATCTTACTTTGTTTGTTGTACTTCTTAGGCTATATATATATATC